AAACTTTTCCACGGAATAGTCACCGGTTACGTTTCTTTTATTCTAATGTGAGGTCAGTCTCTAGAAATGCGGACCCTTTACGCCTGATATTAAGTGGCCATCATGATATTTTTGCCTTTTCAGGAAACATGGTTGAAACCAGGCCATACGCTGTCTTCTCTTCTGGGACCTGTTATTGATAATTATGATGTGTTCAGATGTGATCGACCAAAGAAATGTGGAGGAGGGGTTATCCTGTTTGGGCAACGTAGGTTGTCTATATCCCTGATACTTGCCGAATCAGTTGTGGATTCCTTTGAGGTTCTTTGTGCGGATGTAATGTGTAGAGGTTGCAACCTTAGGATTATTGTTTTGTACAGAGCCCCTTCTTGCAACAAGGAGAACTCTGAGTTACTTTTCAGAATTCTTAGTGATCTAGTATCATGCGAGAGGCATAGTATTATTTTGGGTGACTTCAATCTACCTGAGTTTTGCCAGGAAAGCGAAGCTCTTTCTAGATCATCTCTAGTATCCTGCTTGAAGGAACTCATCCAATGTCATAATCTTGAGCAACACGTTAATGAAGCCACCAGAGGGATAGCATACTTGATTTAGTTTTCTCTAGTGCACCGTTTTTGATCAAAGGCTTGACTGTGGTCTCTCCGGTAGGAGTTAGTGATCATAATAGCATTTCGTTCAATCTCATGTTTCAACTACCCTGTCCCAGTTACACTTATCGGCGTATGTACTCCAGATGTAACTTCAGTGAACTGAATCGTAGTCTTGCACAAATACACTGGGTTCCTTGCTCGAATCTAGAGACAGTTTGAATGAGAAGTACGAGCTATTCTTGTCTGTTCTACACAGTGCGATAGATTTCTTTGTTCCTTGGAAGAGGGTCCCTTGTGTCAAATCCATCTATCTTCCCAAACACTTGCAAAATATGTGGGAACACCGTGAATGTTTGTTCAATGAAGCTAAGGCGATTGAAGAAATGGGATAATACAATAGCCTTCACAAAAAAATTCTTCACCCATCTCAAAAAGTACAATATCTATCTGGAGAAAAAAATTATTGAGTCCGGGAATGTCAGATGTTTCTATAGGTACCTAAGTAAAAGAATTCAAGACATACAGCGTATCGGTTGCTTGCGAAAAGGGAATATCATAGCAACATCTCCCATGGATAAAGCCAACCTGTTAGCTGAACACTTCGAAAGCGTCTTCCAGGAAGATGATGGGAGACTCCCTGATTTTGTCTTTCCTAATGTTGAACCTATGCAAGACTTTCCTTGGTTCAGCGCCTCTGCGCTGTACGAACTGATCATGAAGTGGCCTGCATCTTTCTCTATTACCCCAGACTTCGTACCTTTCATAGTTGTGCAAAAAACGGCTCCAGTTATTTGTGGACCACTTGCATATCTCTTCAATCAATCGCTAACCCAAGGTGAGGTCCCGTCTCGGTGGAAACATTCCTTTATTACACCAATCCTCAAGAAGGAGCCTTCATCCAGTCCCGAAAACTATCGTCCTGTCAGCATAACATCCTTGTTCTGCAGACTCTTTGAGAAAATACTAAAAACCATATCAATCGTCATCTCCATCTCAACCATATCATCTCCAATCATCAACATGGATTTGTTTCTGGTCGCTCTGTTGAAACCAATATGATTGAATGTCTGAATGACTGGACCGAGGCACTTGATAATAAGTATTCTTGTGACGTTATATATTTTGACTTTGCGAAAGCATTCGATAGAGTCTCACATAAGAAGCTCATCTTGAGATTAAAAGTTCTTGGGTTCCATCCTATTCTCATCAAGTGGATATCGGAATATCTCTTCGGCAGAACTTTCCAGGTCAAAATAGAGGAATGCTACTCCAATGTTAAACAGGTGCTAAGTGGAGTACCCCAAGGTGGTGTCCTATCACCTGTTCTTTTTAACATATTCACGGCCGAACTTCCTGGTATGCTCAGAGAAGCTGGAGTCATAGCTAAAGTATATGCTGATGACTTGAAAATTTATAAGACGATCTCGCATGATACGGACTACCTGGTCGTGCAAAAAGGCCATAGATGCGAACTGTCGACTGGTCCAAGAGATGGCAATTAGCTATAGCTCCACATAAAACAGTTTACATGAAACTTAGCTCCGGAAACGTTCAGCCATCGCCCCCTTACTCTGTAAATGGAATCCTACTCTCTGCTACTCAATCTGTCAGAGATCTCGGTTTCTACTACAATGATAGATTAGATTTTTCGGAGCATATCAAAAGGAGGGTACTAGCAGCTCACTCACGTATATATCACATTTTCAAAGGGCTATCCACTACAAACCCACAAGTGTTGTTGCGTGCTTATAAGACCTATGTTAGACCCTTAGTAGAAACTAGTACAACGGTATTCAACCCTACGAAAAAGAAGCACATTTACGCGCTTGAGAGGGTACAAAATAGCTTCACTCATAAATTAATGATTAGAGCTAGTAACATTGTCTACTCAGAAATGCCGAATGCCCCAAACAGGAATAAACTACTACGATTATCAACTCTGGAGTCTAGACGGAATGTTTTCGATCTTTGTTTAGTTCACAAGCTATTAAAAGGGCACATGGTTCCGGTTCCAATCATGTCTTCAGAATGGTTCATTCGAACACTAGAGGTGGTCCCATGAAAATCTATTTGTCTAAACCTAAAACTAATTTACGTGCCAAAAGTTTTACCTTCAGGGCGGGCAGCTCGTATTTGAAATTAACAAAAGCCATACCTACCGTTCTGTCACATGCTCAGTTCAGACACCGTATTTCCAAAAGGTTGTTAAGGTATGGTGGGTCTAGCTCTCTCGAGACTGGTCTATAAATTAGTGTTTTGCTGGTTAATCACTGTTTTCAAACAACTAATATCAATATTTGAACATTGTATATGCAATGGGTTATGTTCTCTTTTTCTCACGTATGCCTTATGCACACGTAATAAACTTACTTACTTACTTACGCTTTGAAATGAGTAGATCCCTCCTTCACCAATGACCTGCCCCAGTGCCCCGAAAGCGTTTGGACCTCTGGTACCTTCGTTTTTTCAACAAGTGCGAGTAAATTGCTGTTGATGCCAATTTCGGCGAATGACAAAACGCTTGTAGCGTTTGCCGTCGGAGAGTACCTTCGACTGACCAGAACAGTTGAAATCGCGCGGCTTCATGTTCGGGCGAATGGGGTGATTGAACTCAGGTCTCAGTATTGATCGTGTCCTAGTACTGCAGTATAATGCAGTTTTCCGGGTCTGCCACTTTGGCGAGGAATGGTGGCCTTCTTGTAGTTGTGGTACCATCCATTTGTCGATCTGATTGTCGAAGAACAGGCAGTATACATCGACAGTGACGATTTTCTACTCTGATTCTAGCCGCTGTGATCAGACAATCAGCGCTTGACTTCATCCACCCTTTTTTCTTGTGCAGGATGAACATTATGGGACCATCCACGACAACAATTTTTTTCCTTTCTTCCTTCTTCGGGCTCCTGAACCAAACCTTCCACCTTGCATTTTGAGAACACCATTACACGCAACTACTGGTCTGGCACAAAACAAATCTGAGCACCTATTACGCCTGGTTCAAAAATCCGGCGCTGATTTTGATACTCGAGCTTCGAAAAGGTAGAGTGCGTGGAGCTTCTCAGAAAGAGACGGTGAAAGTTGTGACCTTTTTTATTTTATTTCCTTTACAACTTCTTTTGTGATGTGTTGTCGTGGTTCTTTTGTGGAAGTCCACTGCTCTTTGTATCGAATAATTTGATGTTCACAGTCATGCTCGAATGCACTACACATCCGAGAGATTTTCACTGTTGAGGTTGTTAAACCTTCTGTTCTACACCATTTATGGAGGAGTGTAGCGAAAATTTATTTCTTACCATCAATGGGGAAAATGAGGAATCAGAGGAAACTTGAAACCACGTTGGGTAGTTTGCAGAGAAGGTCATCGCATGTGGCATTTGCTTTACCAAGAAATTGGCAGACGGTTTTATCCTTGTTGCAGCCCGCATGATCTGGGTCTTTGCTTCCCACTTGGTACAGCTGTGTGTGGTCAGGAACCCTGGAAAGGAATGTGAGCGATCGACAACAACATCTCTGAGAAAGTGTTCATATTGGCTCTTACTTTGTGTTGTAGATGCAAATAAGCGAGGCTTGTGTCTCATCCCCTTTGGGACACTCTTCATAATTACAGCCGACTTCGTAAATCTTATCATAGGCCATCTAAAAATCGACTGTCCTGGTTCAAATGGACAAAAGCAACGGTTTCAAATAAGTAACTTACATTGGCGAAGGTGTACAGATTGCTATCACTATACAAACTCTCCTTGTATCTAACGTCACCCTCTATGGGATATGTTTCTGTTGGCATGAGCCAATCATCTATTGCTGCACTTATGAAGTTATACTTTCGCATTCTAAGCTCGCTTGGGTTTTCAGTTACTGGTTCTGGCACAATGTCACTGAAAATGGCTCGAGTATCGAGTAGAGCATGTAGCGGCTGTAAAGAAAATCAGGCTAATTTACTCACTGGTAAACATTCTTTCCTTGATCCTGCAATTGGTCTTTGGAATGAGCACAATTCTTCGTCAATTCCCTCGCCTTTGCTTCAAGGGTGCAGTTCCATCTCTACAAATTAGGAGAATAATCGAGAAACATTGAGTCACAGCGTGAGTTGACAATTTCTTGGAAATTTGACTCTCCTTAGTTAAGTGGATATCCGAAGTTTCCCCAATTAGGTGAGCCAGGCAACAGACGAGAAAAATTCACCGGGTTAGCCACACGCGTACAAAGCGATGTTTTTGCGATCGCGAAGAAAGACTGGGCACAGGCAGGCGTTGCTTGTCGCGGTGGCGATATTAGTCGCGGTATCCGCAATGGGGGTCGTATTTGACCCTTCTAGGGAGGAGGGTCGTATTTGCAGAAGTCAGTACTAAAAAGCAGCCGCGACATAGGAGCATTATGGGTGTTCGAAGCCCAGCTGGTGGTGCTTGCCCCTGTGTAGAAAAAAGCAAATCAGTATTTAAAAAAAAAAATTAGTAAATATATGCTTGGCTTCCCAACGAATGTCGAACTGCTTCTGTTTTTTTCAGCTTTGCACTCGTAAGCTGCTGATTTGCGAAAACTCTTTGGAACACCGTCTGCACTTCTAAGCCTTGCCGTGAAGCGCTCTGCGACGATATGGCTGCCTGAGAATCATAACTTTTGCAATGAATCGGGAGAGTGGATGTACATGCGTCGCTTTAGGCTTATTAGTTCCCTTATGGCCACAAGAAAGAGGTTGCTTTGTTCTATACGTTTTACCCTGGCAGGATCCACGAATGTCGCATCGGCCGTCTCATGCGAGGAGCGCCTAGTCGCGCCGTATTTCCCCGCTGCGCATGCGGCATTTGCATTCGTCAACTTTATTGTTTGCTGGTGTGAGAACTATGAAAGCAATGGGACCGATGTTTTACATTAAACACGACATTAAGAGAATATGAGATCGCAAGAGCATAAACTTTTCCCTGAGAGTGTTGCGTTTGCGCGATAGTTTTTCACTTATCGCCTGCCCCTCCTCGCTTCAAATCGAATTCCAAAGTTTAAGGCGCATAGCGGAAGTCGTCCTTCTCGTGTCATGGCTTTATGCTAGGCATTTCTACCCGTGAACCCGTAGATAGTCCATCACGCTCTCTACCTCAGTTTCGCAATTCACTACTGAACATGGAGAATTACCTCTTTTGTTTTAGTTGTTCTTATGAGGATTCTCACAAAATGTGTCATACCATCAACTGTCATCGAAATTGAATTTTGAGCGAAGCACTGTTTGAGGTTAACTGCGAACTTACTATTTTGAATAAATTCTTAGCAGGTGGAAGGAAACCAGTTGCAATACCTGGCGAACTCTCCAGAGCAAGTACATTTCGAGTTCCTTCGTGGTAATATAAGATCTTATAGCGAGTGTTGTCGTCCATTAGTTTACCGCGGTTTTCGCCGCATGACTCTGCAAGGATCGAAAGTTGCATAGTAATCGTATAAGGAGGTATTTTCACGTGAAATTGTTTGCCTCAATATGTCTATACACTGAGGGTCGTTAGGTCGTTGCAGTAAAAGTCCAGCCATCTAATGTATGCGAGAACCAAAGTGGAGGGATGTACAAGTCATTACTGGCCTTTTTAAACGAAGCGTTTCCCCCAATTAACCCACTTCCCAATGTCTTCTTCGATAAGCTCCCCGAGCCAAGGGCTCCTTCCATAGCTAGCAACCAAAGACGCTCGTGATATGGGTTCCGTAAAGACAATATCACGCGGCTGCCATGATTTGGCCTAAATTAACTTCTTGTAACTTAACTGTAACTCCAACTCTGTAACTGTAACTTCTGGTCATGACTCCTGCAGAGGAATGGTGGGGGGAGGGGTGAAGTGAAGGGGCGTGGATTGATGCCACCAGCTTTCGGGCTCAAGATGGTATGTTTGGTGGAGGAAATCATCCTGGGTATGCCCCAATCCACGTCTCCTCACACTCCGTCTCGTTTGCGAAGATCGTGACTGCACATAGGCTGGTGGCGATGTTGCTCATGCAGCATACACGATTGACCGTCAATGGTTCGCTGTCTAGGCAATAATCAAACTAATTTCTATCAATGGACCACTTCAACTGGGCTCTGGGAAGATTCGCTCATCGGTATCATCGAGAAGAATGATGACAGGCTTGTTGGACACGGCATCTTTTGGAGAAATTCTATTAGAGAAGTCGTATCTTGTCTCTGGGGTAGGATGAGGGGGTCGTATTTGGCCATAGACAAATTTCTTCAAGATGCGAAAGAATCCGTCCAATACGCGCTCAATACCCCTACTCCTTCCCTGCTCCGTTCACATTTCAAGACAGTTTTGGGTGAAAACTGGTTGAAATTTGGAAAAATTGGTAAAGAGGTGAAAGTGTTTGCTAAGATGGTAGGTAGTCGTGCTGAAACGGCCTGTTCACCCATACCTCTGCTTCTTCCTGAACGGAACGTGCTCTATTAATTCACAACTCTAAATGATAGCTCTTTTTATGCTTACACAGCATTCCAGAATGGAAAGCCGTAAGATGGCTAATGGGTGACAGTTTCACCGTCTTCGAGCGAGCATTGCGCTGTGTCATTCTTGTATCAACACCTCCTTCGATAAGAAGTATAAAACTTACGTGTGTCGTGATACGCTTCATATCCAGCGCATAGGCCGCAAAGGCTCAGCAGGAGGATCTGGAACTGGAAAGTTCGTTAGATAATATAGGAAGAGCTGTAACAGTTTAGAATCACACTTACCGTAAACATTACCGGGAACGTTGCAGGAGTGTCCTGAGCGTGTCCTGTTTGAAAGTGTGGTGCCTCATCGAGTTTGGCTTGTCTTTTATACGTGCACTGGACAATAGTATGTCTAGATCACACTATTAGGTTTCAAATTGAAATATTGATTACAAAGGTCCACATCATGGCAATACGTTTGCGATTGCGTAACGGCTCTTTACTATTACATTTATTGGTGAAATACAGACTATCACATTCGCTTCAGCTCTGCGCTGACGCTGCAGAGGTTTGAGCGCTTGGTCTATTCAGGGAAATCACTTTAGTTTATGTATGCTAAGGCCGTACGCCTCTCCCTTTTTTAGTGGATTGGCTCGCTCCCCCCCCCCAACACCCGGTTCCTGCCCTCATCGAGCTGGTTGAGCCGCGGCAGGGGTGGGGGGAAGGAGTAAATTGCCCCACGTGAAACGAAAGGCGCGAGGGGAAATCGACTCCCTCCTGCCCATTTCTTAGATTTCCTCACATTGCCTACCACTTCCTGTTGTTTCGGAATTCCGCGAAATTTTCCTTTTTCCTCAAAGAATTCTCCCCAACTTCCTACCACTTTTTCTCTTTCCGAACTTCCCGAAAATTTTCGTGCTTTTCCCCAAAATATTGGCTTTTGCGCATGAAACGAGAAACATCACAGAAGCTAGGCAACCTTCTTCAAAAGGTCTGAAGGGAAATACGATCGCTCCCTCCCCCCCCCCCCCTTCTCCTAACAACGAATAAACACGACATGTACGACCCTCCTCCCATACAACGTCGGTGGAACAGAAAAATCAACTATCAGAATAAATTTTTCTCAGCCAAATACGGCCCACCTGTTGGGGAATCCCCAACAACGATGCGCCTCGGTTCTATTGGTGCCTCGAGTGTGGGGGGGGGGGGAAGTAGGAGGGTTGTAAGTCCTTGTCAACATTCTAGGGCAGTGCTAGAACGATGTGATACCTGAGGAAAGGATACCAGTTCCATATGAGTTGCCGAGGAGCAGCTGAACAGTTTAATGAGCCTGTGAGATGCGTCGCACATTATATATCCGCTATGTGTTCCATAAACGTCAGGATGTGAGTTTGAGTTGCAGGTACACTTCGTGAAGTTGCCAACCACTTCTGTAAAACCTTGGACACTTTGGAGGGGAGCTTACTTAGTTGGTTCAGGTGAATGCGAACTCTTGGTCGTTCAGTTGTGACATGGCGCGTCTCGTTGCTCTGCTAACGCTAGTTAATCTATAGCTCCAAATTATGCAGTATTTGTCATGAATGAAGCTGCTTCTTTCTAAAATTGTGATTTGTACAAAAATGGATTGTTGAAAAAAAACCAAAATTCCCACTTATATCTTGGCAGCTTGATTCACTGCACGGTTGATTTGATGCTAGCTTCACAAATTCAAGCTTTGTTTGCATTCAGTGCTGGAAGGTGTAACCCCGCGTACAAGAAATCATTTGTGAACCAGGGGATTGAGGTTTGTCTTGAAGAGAAGTGGGTGAGTGAAGCGAATGCACCATAATCGCGGAAAGCATGGTCTTACGGTACCGTAAAAAGAAAATCGATCCCGGAGTCCCTTTTTGCCTTTTTTAGGTTTCCTCTTATGATTTCCGAGGTACTATATTCTCATGAAAAACGAATTTGTGGTTTTGGGAAATCTCTGTATCCAGCGATCAGAAACCAGATAGCCTATGTTGCATGTACGTATCGTACACATATTTGTGTTCGACTGGCAAATCGACCAAGCTAATACTGCTCGAAAGTTCGAATACCGTAGTGAATGAGCGTTTTCCATAGAGAAACTGTTCAGCTTATCTCGGATAACAAAGAAACCTTTTTTCTTTCTGCCGTGTTGCTTTCCTTTGTACTAGCGGTCCACGCCACAGTTGACTTTCGATCTGAACGAGCCAC